GGGCTTGCAAGGTAGGTGCCAGAACCACTGAGCTCAATCCCTGGCCCTGAATATTTTATTTTAAGAAGCCTTAATTCAGGTAGGCTTGGAAAGCCACTGAAACATTTGTTTTGGGAAAATTAGGGCTATGTCTTGGATTGATTAATAAATATGATGGTACTATGAAGTTTACTGAAAGAGAGGCTGTGGGAAGGAAGATGAGAGAATAGTGCAATCATCAAGCAAGAATGCAAAATCCTTGGAGACAGAAAAGAGGCAGAAATTCAGAGATGGACTCAGTCGGGCTTGGTGACACTGAAGAGTGACAAAAGATGACTTCCAACCTTGAGTAACTGAAATAAAGACCACATGATTCACAAGTCAAGAAATTAGCACAAGTAGTTTCTCTAAAATGCTTTATTTATGCGAGGACAGATTGTTTTGAGTGTTTTATGTCTAAAGTACCAATGTTAATATATAGAGGAAATATTCCATGCACAGATTCTGGAATTGGTACTGCAATTGAAGATGAAGTATTGTGAATTTAAACTTGAAGGTGAAAGTTGCCTGTAGTAGAGGAAAGGTGATGCAAACTGAGGGAAGCGTCTGAAAGACTAGTTGAATGTCATGTGAAATTCTAAAGACCATGTGAAACTGTGAAAATAAAAGTAACGCTGAAGTTTGAATTGTAGTTCTGCTGCTTTATAAATGGCATGGTCTTATAGAAGCCTCTGGTTTACTTACTTATTCGTTTATTTTTCATTTCTTCACAAGGCCTGCCTTAAGCAGTATGCATACAATAGCACTCCATGCAGGGTGTATTGACGCACTGGAATATAGTCATGTCTAGATTATGGAGCTTCAGGGGAAACATTCGTGTATTCACTCACTCACTTTTTTTTTTTTTGTGGTACCTGGGATTGAATTTAGGACCTTGCATTTGTTAGGCAGGCACAGCGCCACTGAGCTACATCCTGGCCCATCACTCACGTATTCTTACTAAGTGTTAACCTAAGGAACTCTAACATTGCCTGAGTTTTCCTCCATTGAATTTCTTGAGCAGAATTTTTATTGGTTCAACTTGACGTATTATTCTCAGTTAATTATTGGGGAAAAAAGGCCAATTTAGGGGCCAGGGATTTAGCTCAGTGGTTCCGCAGCCTGCCTTGCAAGCAGAAGGTCCCGAGTTTGATCTCTGGTACCAAAACAAAACAAAACAAACAAAAAAGGCTAATTTACACTTTGTTCATAATGGAATCATGCCATCTACATCTCACACTAATCATTCTCTTCCTCACATTGGTTGGTGTAGCTCTAAAGGAAGTAATGGAGAATGTTGCCTTTCTTCTTACAATAACAGGAAAGGCTCACTACAGGTTTCCTTTAGATACTTATAATGAAATATTTGATTCACAAATGATTTAAATCATCCTCCTTAACAGTAGTTAAACACACTGATGTTATAGTGTTCTGCCAAATGCAACTACTGTCATGTGACTATTGAGTTTTTGGACTGAAGTGTCTGTTAGAAGAGGGGAGGCCTATCCCAGAATGCTTCACCAGAACTTGCCTGGGGCATCCCCAGGAACCGGAGCTGACACAGGTGTTCAGCACAGTTGCTTACTGCTTCCCATCAAGAAGGATGGGGGGTTCTTAGCGCTGCTGGTTTGTGGCACTCAGCGTATTTGGCAAGCAGTCAGCCCTGGCTGTGGATTTCCCTGGGGAAAATAAAAGCCACAGGGAAGTCATCAGTGTGACCTTCTTCTTGGTAGTTGGCACACAGTCCCACCACAGGGAACCTTTCAGTTGTCATTTGCTACAGGTAGCTATCAGGTGCTCGTGGAGGTCCCCCATTCAAGGTGGAAGGTAGAGAAGGAGAAACAAAATACTGAGCAGAAGCTTACTAAGTAATTTCTAGTCATGAAGCTTAATACCAACTGATATGCTGATAGAAGGGATGGGGGGGTTAAAGGAGGGAGTTTCTTTGGTTCTGTAAGCATAGTTATAAGCTTTGCTATTTAAGTCTGACCCATCATATTGAAATGCTGTCACTAGTATCATTAGCAAGTAAAGTGTTGATAACATAGTCAAATGCGCAGCAGAGTTCTGGCTCTTAAGTGTCTGGACTAACTCCCAATATTAGGAATAGAAGTCAAACTGCCATCACTTTTCCTGTGCTAACAGACGCCCTGCCATTAAGCAGTCTGAAGGCAATTTTAATAAAATACATAGCCCCGCTGAGTTGGCCTCAAAAGATAAATAAGCAATGCAGAAAAGAAGCTTTTGTTTAAAAGTAATTATTTAAACTATGCATTACAGGTAATTTTCTTTTACCAGTAAGGCAAATGCTATCAGAATTTCAATAATGATTTCGTGGCACTTATCTAAATAATGTGATATTGTCATTTCTAAGAGTTAAAGCAGCACTTTATTTTTTCTTATATAGAAAATGAGAACAAATTGGATCCAGGTATCATGTGCATGTGTTTTACAGTTGATATTACATTTTTGGGTGAATAGTGTTGTATTCTTGGACAGATTTATGGAAATGTAACAAGCTGGTGATAGAGTTCTGGGAACTGCAGACTTAACTTCCAAACAGAGTAGAACAAGAGGGCAAGGAACATCTTTTTATTTTTCCTTTGCTATCAGAAAGGAAATCACATTTCAGTCTTTTAAAAACTCTTTAATAGGATGCTTATATGTAAACCATGGTCACAAGGGCATAGTAAATGTGTGCATGGATCAGAGGAGCCAAAGCTTTGTTTGCCAAAAGGTAGAAAGCTCCTAAAGCTTTTTAAAAATCTATTTGGGTACCATTAAAATGATCACCTTTTCTTTCCTGCTTAGGAGCGACACATTACCATGGAACCCTTAGCATAGAATTCATTCTGGGCTCACTATGGGCAGCATGAGAAGTGGCCTGGGTGAGGATGATGCCAAGGGGACCTGGAAGGCTGACGTTTCCCGTGGCCCTCCAGGGGAAGTGGTGTGGCAGGCCTGCTCGGACAGCACAGTCCTCAGTTCGAACCAAACTCAGTTCCTGGCCTATTTTTCATGCTGTGTCAGCTTAAGCAAGTAATTTGTCCTCTTCAAGCCTTTGAGAATCTGGAATTCTTCACAAGGCCAGAAATTACAAAGGACTAAAAAATGTTGGAAAGAACTTAGGGACAAACTTGAAGTGGCTCCTGGTTGCTGAATCTGGGACATTTGAGCAAGGAAATAATAGTAGTAATGATACTCAATATATTCTATGCTAATATCAAAATTATTGAATACATAAATGAGGGAGAAAGGAAATCTCTTTTTAAATAGTAGAATACCACTTAATAAATGAAATGAATGATGAAATAGAAATAATCATTTGGATTATTTATAAGAAAGTATTGTGTTATTATCCATTGGCTTCACTTTTTAGAGTCTTATTTGTCTATGACTTGTATTCTAACATTTTGGCCATTCTTTTAAGATTATGGTACACTGTGTATTAATGTTATTTTAAAATTTAATTTTAATTTATTATAATGTT